AGGAATCATTGACCTCTTTTAAGAGTCTGGTGAAAATGCATACACACATATAATTTTATAAAATATTTCAAGAAGTTTGTGGACTTCTAGGAATTAAAGTCCCCATTAATGAGTAATTAAGTGAAGACATACATAATCCTAAAGTGTGTTTACATTCTGTTTCTAAAACAATTTGTAATCATTTAGTTCCCAATTATTTCTTAAACTAACAATAAACAATTGAGGGGTGTAGGCGAAAGCCTTGCTCTTCTATTTTCTCCCCCATTTGCTGCCTTTGCCCTTTGAAACCAAGATTCTTCTTATGTAAATATCATATAGGATATCTTGCCACAAAGAATATTTCAGTGTAATTATTCCTTAAAATATTCATGTCTCACGTAATTAGCTGGTATATCATCTGTAATTTGCTTATACGTAAGGTCAAAAACCTGAGGTAATGCATCATAATCTAATCATTTCTACTTTCTTTGCCAAGGTTCACTGAATCTTTTAACCTACATTGACTATGATAAAGTTAATTTTCCATATTAAAGTAATATTCAAATTAGCCTTTTAAAAATTATACTATGGGAAAAAAATGAACACACTTAAGTCAAAATTAAGGGTGCCATAAGCAAATAACTTGGCAGGATTTCTTAGCAAAAATATATATATATGTATACAAATATATGAAGCACATTTCTCTAAGTTATTTAAGTTGGTATATTAAACCAATTTATATCTAATCCAGTGAAATTTATGGCACATATGTTAATTAGGCTAACATAATTGATAAATTAAGAAACATTTCACTCTGTAAAAACAATATTTCTATCTCATAGATTTTTTTTCATCTTTTAGTTTTTATGAACTTATGTATATGCCACAAAAATATCATATTGATATTAGAAAATGTAATATACCTACATTTGGATTAAGTTATAGCCCCAGGCTCTCTGTCAAATAAAGGGTGCCAGACAGTCCACTATCTGCATCTATCTCTTAATTGATAATAACTAAAGGATTCCGAATTTTATATAACCATCAAGAGAATATGCTGAAAATAATTGGCCCTTACTCTACAATAATTGAACAAGTCTCAGAGAAATATGTTAAGACAAATGTATTTTGCTTTCCCATTAGCCTCTTTATCTTCAATTTTTTTATCCATTTGTTTTGTCCAATTGGGTTTTATTTGTACCTTTTTAATAAGTTACAACTCTAACAACTGTTTATTTTAAATTTACTTTTTTAATTCACAGGTAAAATTATATGTATTTACACATACAACATGATGTTTTGAAGTCTATATGCATTGTGAAATGACTAGCATTACCTCACATAATTACTATTTTTGTGGTAAAATAGTAATTTACATCCACTCTTAGCATTTTTATGACTACCTTATATTATTAACTATAGTTACCATATTGTACAGTAGATCTCCTGAACTTATTCTTTCTAACTGAAATTTTGCATCCTTTGACCAACATCTCCCCAACCACCTCAGGCCCTGATAACCACCATTCTATGGAGGCTTCTCAAAAAATTAAAAATAAAACTATCTTATGATCCAGCAATCCCATTGCTGGATATATATCCAAAGGAAATGAAAACACTATGACGAAGAGATATCTCCATTCCCCTACATATTACAGTGTTAATCACAATAGCCAATGTATGGAATCAACATAAAGAATGTTTTTAATGACGAATAACCAGGGACACATTTTATTAATCTAATATGCTACACCTTACTATGCAAGTTGACCTTGCATAAAAGCAAATTTACAAGAATATTAGCAGTAAATAATTCCTAACATCTTGGAGACAGTTTTTAAAACAATACATTTGTTGACTCATTCAAGATGTATTTAGTGAGCTACTACTGTTCTATGCCAAGTGATATTCTAGGTCCTACACATGCATCATAAACCAAACTGAAAAAAAAATTAACTCTTGTAGATTTTCAAAGTTACTATAGTAGCAAGAGGAAGAGACAAACAGCAAGAAAAAAATACATGTAGTTATTCCTTACTTAATGACAGGGATATGTTGTGAGAAATGCACCATTCGGTATTTTGTCATTGAGCGAACATCATAGAGTGTACTTACGCAAACTTAGATAATACATGCTAACTGTAAATGTAGTCTAGATGGGATGGCCTGTTGCTCCTAAGCTCCAAACCAGTATAGCATGTTACTGCACTGAATACTGCAGGCAATTGTAACACAATGGTAAATATTTGTGTATTGAAACACAGTATAGTAAAAATATGGATTTTTACTATAAGATGATGGTCTCATAAGCTTGCAATACCATATTTTTTCAATTCATCGTTGACTGAAATTTCATTATTTGGTACATAGCTAGGTTAGATAATGATAAGCACTATGAAGAAAAATATAGCATTACTTACACATTAAGAAAACAGATCAATCTACTAAATATCAGGTCATCCAAAAATTATTTTTTAAACCAATATAATAGTTACTCCTGAGAATAGGTTCAAGAATTTTTTTAAATCATGATAAATGTCATCTCCTACGCCTCTTCATTCCCGCCTCCATCTCAATCCATTCTTCAAAGAGCAGCTAGAAGAATTAGATCCTCCAGAGGCTTCTCATGATCCCCCTCACTTAGACCCCTCAGCACAAACTGACCCATGCCCGCCTCCAGCTTCATCATCCTCTGTGTTTCTCTAAACTCACTATATTTGAGCCATAGTAACGTTTTGTTTTTGTAAGTCTGTCAAACATATAAAGCGTCTTCCTGCCTTAGGTCTTCACACATATATTGTTCCCACCTTGGGCCCACCCCCACCTCTCTAATCCCAACCCACCTCCAAATCCATGGGGCCCTTGCTCAGACTCTGCCGGAAGTCTACTGCTCACTTGTAAGCTCATAGTCCCAATGACGGATGGTTTTTAATCTTTGCTATTTGGCTTCTAGGATGGGTATGTCTTACTAACTCATGTATTTTCTCTAACATGTAGAATCTGATTCTGATGGCCATTCCCTCTGAGGAATAAGATGCTTTCTGGGACTTGTAGCCATGGGAGAAAGGTTTAAAACACTTTCAGAGAGTTGAAGAGAAGCCACTTTATGCTTGGAATCATTGTTGAAAAAAATTCAGCTATGAAAAACCACAAATGTGTAAACCATTAAATAATCCCAGATAGCAATAGTTCAGGGAATTATTGTTCAGTCACCTCATGCTAAGTATTCTAAAGAACACACACACACACACGGCAAACACAGGGTTGGTGATGTTTTCTATGTCTTTCAGAGTGAGAAATTAGAATTATTTTTGAGGATGAGAAGAATCTTTTTACAATGACTAGCATATCCCAAATTTCCACCATGACACAAATTTAGAAAAATATTTGATTTTATTTCCATATATGTCACCCCAATTTTTTCAGAGGCAAGAACCTATCTTTTCTTTTTTTTTATCCCCAAGAACTGGCCGAAAAGAAAAAAAAAAAGTTTAAAATAGATAGTCAATTAATATTTATTAAATAAATCACAGATAGTAAAGAAGTATTAGAAGCAGCCTGAGCTGAAGCTAACTCTCCCTTGTCTCTGTCAGCCAGGCCAATTATAGCTCAGAAGCCACTCAGGGAATAGAACTCTCTTGTGAAGCATCTATTCCTTTAAACTAAGGCCTTAAGTTTTCCCAAACCCTGTAAATTCCCAGATTCTTCTATCTGGATTTATGCAAGAATGATTCCAATCCACTGGTTGGCAAGGAGAATGGTTTAATAACTGCAGAGGAAATATAAAATTCTATTCAGAATACGATGAAAGCTGTAGGGGATTATGTATTCATTTATCTTGTAGTACAAAAACGCAAATCTTCAAATAACAGAGTGTTGCCATGTTAGCTTCCTCTGGAGAGCTGAAAAATAAACTGTGAAGACAGCAGAATGATGTGATTTGTATCGGAGTCACTGGAATTGACAAAACCTAAATTCTTTTTTTTAATTTATTTATTTCAGTTAACAAATGACAAATTTTATAAACTAGTGGCATACAATATGATTTTAATGTATGTTCTGCTATGCAAAGCCTCAATTCTTAATCGATCTACAGGATTCAGCTGATAATGTGAATTCTGTCTACCTGTGTTTTTACATTTGTGAAAGAATTATATTACTTTATTATTCAGCTTTTTTGAGATTCCATATTCTAAAATTATGACTTTCAACCATCAAATATAAGGTAGTAGAAATATGGGGCAAAAGTTTTTGCAGTTTTGTATCAAAAAAGTAGATAAATGCAATAGGGAGTGCATTAAAGAGAATAGAAAGAATTTTTTTTAAAGGAACAGGGAAAAAAGAAGAGAAAAGAATGTAAAAGAAAGGAGAGAGGAAGGGAGGCTGAAAGAGCAAAGAAAGTGAGGAAAGAAGGGAAATATTAAAGTATTTGATAGAGCTTCCCTACCACTCAGATGCTTTTGTATGTGCAGTATTTCAAAGTTCTTCCTAGGTAAATAGCAATGTCTTTCCTTTTTATTAGCACTGCTGCAGCTGCTGTTGCTCACAAAGAGATTCACAAATCAAAATAGACTCAGTTAGCTTTTCAATAATTCTGAAAAGGTAGGAGAACATTGCCAGAGAAGGATAGCACTCCAGTATCCTAACATGGAGTCTTGTTAGCAAAACAAAGTGTGAATTGCTTAGATAATTCCCTGCTGTTGGTAATTCCACTGGGTGCCGCCTGTGCTATTTCTTCTCTATAGACCAATGCCATTGAACAGGAGATGTCAGAATAATATGAAAAAGTTGCTCTTTTGAAATGTTTAGTCTTTTGGATTTTTTTTAAATGTCAGCATGATTCATACCTATTGGTTCTTAGCCTGGAGCACCCAGCACACCAGGAATTGAGGAAGCTAGGCCAGGATGTGAATAATGAATGGGCTGCATAAGCAGAAGTCTATACCCAGTCAATAGTAAAGGCATGTGCAGAGTTGCAGGCCAGCATTTTCACAGATTCTTTCTATTCTCTCTCTCTCAAGGGAAAACAGGAAAACTAGCAAGAGCTAGCAAGAACTAGCAAGAGCTTGAACAAACGCCTGGACTCAGATTGGAAGACTGCTCATTTGTCTACTGCTTCATTCCTGGAAATCACACTGGAACTGCCTGATTAAGGTATTTGGAAAAAACAAATTTTGACACATTTTGTTGATTATCTACCTCCTTTATCCATCCATATCTTTTGATATGTGGTGGCAGGGTGGAGGGGGTAGTATTTGTGCCAAAGATTGGAAGATTGAAAAAATGTATCTCTTTCAAAATCTTTGTAATATTAAGGGGAAATTAGTATTTGTCACATCTTCTGAAATTATTACTAGTATTAATGTTTTTGAAATGCTGGTTTTGTTGGTGGGGCACTGGCTCCTTGTATAACATGTTTGCTTTCTCCCACTGTCATTTTGTACTCCATCAAATCCAAAGTTGTCATGGTTCATTATCTGTAGATGATCTTGAGCAGCCTTGCATTCTAAAAGAATATGCCATGGCATCTGCCTCTGTGCTTTTGTGGCCTGCTGCACAGCTGATATTTAGCAAGAGTATTGGGTGAGGGGCTAGAGGAGAGAGAAGAATTTGTCTCAGACCAATGTTTCTTTGCACACCATGCTGTGTCTCATTCTTTCATACATGCCTAATTCAGCAGTGAAGTACATATATCACACTGTAACTATTACATACATTAGAGTACATAATTGGGGTTGTAAAGTATCTGTTGAATGTCTTAACTAATGAATTCCATCAAATTCAATTATCATTCTTAGACTCTTCATTAACCAATCAAATTACTCCTCTGGTATAAGTCATTTCTAAGACACGTTTATTAGACATAAACACAATTCTATGAAGTAAATGTGAAGTGATTAGATTATCTCATGATCTTTACTTGGAGTCCCATGCTCCTGAAGTTTGGATTTCTAAAGAATAGCCTTTCACATTGTTTCCATTGTATGTAGGAGAAATAACACTACAGTGTGAAGCTCTGTCCTTAAGACTATTTAACTACTATATCTTAAACTTTTTCTTTCCCTCAGGAAGTTTGCTACGGTGAGTCACCAATGCAAAAATACGTAGAAATATACCAACCATATATGTCTATAAAATTAACCTGCTTATTAAATGAATATATCTATAGACTTATGCCATACTGAATCATAATGTTCTTCACCTTTTAGGAATAAATTATTTCAGTGTTAGAACTTTCTCCTATCTCTTGCAGTAAGATACCACAGTGTAGGATCACAGTTGTTATTGTTGAAACTTTTTTTTTCAAATTGTTATTTCTTTACAAGTAATTCTGGAAAGGCATATACCCAGTATTGACAGTACTGAAGTTTTCTAGGAAATAACTGCCACATTACTAATTTACATTTGATATTTCAATCATTTTACAATGAAGGGCAGGTGCCTAATGTCCTTGCAATATGATTCTTACCATACAGATCTAAAAATATTTCCACTTTGTTCTTTTCTACTTTGATGTCTTTTAGGAACATTTTTATCTTCTGTCCTACAACTATTTTGAGAAGCATCTCAAAATGTGATCTAAAGCCAACCTACAAAATTAGCTGGGCGTGGTGGCACATCCCTGTAATGTAAAGGGATTACATCCCTGTAATGTAAAGGCACATCCCAAAAATATGTGCCTGGGTTCCATGCCAAACTTAAGTCAGAATCTTTGGGAGTAGGCCCTAGGACCAGAATTTAAAATACACTATTAGGTGATTATAACATACTCCAAAGTTTAAGAACCACTGCTTTACAAAATGAGAGCAAGGAAACAACTGATAGAAGAGCATTGTAAAACTACAGACATATAACTGACATCAAAAAAAAAAATCAAAATCAAGTTAAATTTGGATTTTAACTTTTTTCTACATGTTTTCATTTCTTGACGCTGCACTAAGCATTCTAGGATGTTTATTTCCTCATTAATATGTCTTAAATATTTTGAATTAAAATTTTAATATTTAGTGTTAATTAAGTATATTAAGGATATGGATGTCTCCTATTTAAAAGCTTTTCCAAGTTGTCTAACAATGATTAATATTTATAATGGTAAGAGGTATTAAATTAACAGTTGGCATAATTCATTATTATTTTCATATTTGAATCTTTAGTTTTGCAAAGCTTTGTAATAACAAGTCTTTTAATATTTTATATATCTAATAAACACCACTTTTTAGAGAATTTCAACCTATGTTTTTGTTATGGTGTCCATTGTGATGAATAACCTGGGTGTCTTACTTTCAAAAGATGCTTTATTAATACAACTAAATTGAATTCTTTGAGCTTAGATTTGAATATTTCCATGTTATCTAATGTTAGTAAGATAATTTTCTCAGTGCAACAAGTAAGACATTGTTTGCCAATTTAATATACCAAACTCTAAAGTAAGTATATACTCAAATGAGAGTTAGGGAATGAAGAACTGTCTTCTGAACCATGAAAAGACAGAATGTCATGATTACCTCGGGCACTGAAAGACAGCAAATATCAACATTAGTTCTAGTAGAAAGACTACAGAGAATGTTTGACCCATAAAATTAATTTTTGCTTCCTGCATAGCCAACTCCATGGAGACAAAGTCTAAAAAGGGAAAATGGTCAAAATCTTAGGTTTGTAGGTTAACTTACTTTGTAAACTAAATATGTCCTGAAAAGACTGGAATAATTTAAATTCTTTCCATGTCCATAAGAATCATTTTATAAATCGAAAAGTCTTTTGTTTTGATTTAGTTTCAAGGTTGTATTTAGATTATGGACAGGCACTACTGTAGTTGGGTTGTGTTTCAAAAGTTTTATTTAGAAGTTAAATATTTGGGACTCAAAACTTATTTTCAAATAGAAAGAATGCTATACATGATGTTTCATGCACAGATTCAATATTATGAAATCCACAAAATTATAGTAAAAGTATATAATTTATAAAACTAGAGAATTGAAGAATCACTGAAAACAATACTATATGATCCTCAAAATTAAGCCAATTAGATCACAAAAAAATTATACATTTACTTTGAATATCAATGCTAAAGGAAAGTAAATTTGCTTATAAATAAATGAGAAATTAAAACAGATGGTAGGATATTTTTCTAAAACATAGAGAAAGTGGGGTTCTAGCAGAGCAGTATTCTTCCCCTGAGCAGGTGAAAATGAGATGGAGGGGAGAAATGCCAGGTAGATTTAGAGAATCAAAAGCAAAAGGATCTCAAGTATGGGTGGCCAGCAGCATGAAACTAGCTATTAAATAGAAAATTTGCTTGTAAATTGTATGTTTATAATCGAGAAGAACAGGTGTATTCAATTCTTTTTTTGTTGTTGTTTGTTTGAGGCGAAGTTTCGCTTTTGTTGCCCAAGCTGGAGTGCAATGGTGTGATCCTGGCTCGATGCAACCCCCGACTCCCAGGCTCAAGTGATTCTCCTGCTTCAGCCTCCTGAGTAGCTGGGATTACAGGCATGTGCCACCACGCCCAGCTAATTTTGTATTTTTTGTATTTTCTCCATGTTGACCAGGCTGGTCTCAAACTCCTGACCTCAGGTGATCCACCACCTTGGCCTCCCAAAATGCTGAAATTATAGGCGTGAGCCACCACGACCAGCCTCAATTCTTTAAAAATGAGTAAACAACACATCCATTTAGATTGCAGCTGTGTAGAGGAATGGCTAAAGAGAGAAAGTGAGCATGCGTGCTAATTCAGTGACTGCCAACTAATGGAGTGAAGGGAGAGCTAATGAACCTCTGGCCTTCTATCAGTGGCTTTTGCTCTGAGTGGATTAACTCCTTACTCAACACTTTAGTGAGCTCCACTTTCTAAAGAATTCTACTCTTTGTTTCTTTCTAAAAATTCTGCATCAAGTGAACCAAATCTACCAATTTGCTGCCTTTGTGAGCTCAGTTGTTCATTTAATTTACGAAATATTTATTGAATACCTACTATGTAGTCAGCACTTTGCAAATTTTGTTACTTTTAGCCCAGACTTTAAGACACAAAGAATATTTTATTGTATTTGAATTTTAGTATTTTGTATTTTACCATTTCTCTTTATTTTTTGTTTCTTAAATTTGGCTAGTTGAAGGGAATAGAATGGAGGGCTAGCAGTGTGGATAACACAGAGACGAAGGCCAAAAAAGGAAGTACCTGTCTTATTCCTCTATTCTTCAGATTTTAAGGAGGTGTTAGCAGCGCTAAACAGAACCCCCATCACTTCCATTTAACCTTAAAAACAGTTGTTAGAGATGGAAAGACAAAGAGAACTATTTGCTCATGATTAAAATTCTCCATTCAAAGCGAAGAAAAATTAATACATTCAAAATGAAGACCTGCAATATAGAGCACTTTTTGAGCTGATGTATCTTACTAGTAGGCTAATCTATGTATAAGAAGCAAGAAGTCAGAAAGTCATCCTGGAAAAATGACCCATAATTCTTCATCAACTGTAATTTTCAGTAAAATAAAAGTCTAAATCTCCATTACTAGTTAGTTTGAAGTATAGAAGATTATCATGTAAGTTTCCAAAATTCCTTCTAACTCTAGAAATTCTACTGGAGAGACAGATGAATAAGACTGGGAAAAAAGAATGGCTCATCTTTTACTGAAGAAAGATGTTTAGAGGAAATTTTAAATATAAAGCACCCCTTCTTTCCATTCCATTTTCAAGATACAAGAGCAAAGAATGAGTGTTGTCAACATTCAAAGAAGTGTCTTAGGGCAGGAATGATCAATGTCTATGTTGAGTTATCTGAATCTATTTGACAGCTTCTGAAAGCTACTGTACAAACCTGGACTCAATAAGAGGATGATGGTATAGTCTCACAGCCTTGTGTGAATTTTCCAAATGGTTTTTTCACCCCAAGCCTTAGGAGTGACACTTCAAAATTGTATGACTGATGCTGTATCATCAGTTATATTCACATATAAACTTGCTTGATAATATTTCCCATACTTAAGTTTCCAGTCATTCTGTCTTTGTTTCTTACGCTTCCCTGATCTAACAAATCTTACCCATGATGCAGCCTGAGTTCACACCTTTGTTTATTCAACAATTTTATTAAGCATCTACAATGTCAGTCACTCTTCAAAGTCTCTTGTCCAGGACTCTGACCTCATGGAGATTACA